CATTTCTCCAAAGGAGGCCTGGTTCCTTTTAGTAGAGAATGGTATAAAAAAAACCAAGATATAGGCCCGGTGCAGTGGCACACACCTGTAATCCTAGCACTCTGGGAGGCAAAGGCAGCTGAATCGCTCCTAAGAGTCCCCAGCAAGACCAACGAATAATATCTTTATACACATAAATACACATGTGTACACATTCATATTTACAGTAATACATTGCTTAATGATGGGAATGCATTCTGAAAAATGTACTATTAGGCAATTTTGTCATTGTGCAAACATCACAGAGTGTATTTATACAAACCTAAATGGTATTGCCTACTACACACCTAGCCTATATAATATAGCCACTGTTGTATATGTGGTCCATAATAACATGGAAACATCATTATGTAGCACATGACTGTTTATTTATCAACAGATGGGGTTTTTGTAACCTTACCCAGGCTGGACTTGAACTCCTGGGTTCTAGCAATCCTCCTGCCTCAGCCTCTCAGGTAGCTGGAACTACAGGGCATGCACTGTCATGCTGGCTATTTATTATTTTTATTGATTGATTTATAAAGTGATGTCTAAATTTGGGGTCACAACCTACCTTTACAGAATCAAACCTCCAGGTATGTTTTGCAGTATAGAGTTTGAAGCATTCTTAAATTGTACATATCCCCACCAGTCGCTTTTGTGTGACTTCACGCATTTACCTACATCCTTTACCCCTGAAAACAGTTGAGTTTTTTAGTTTGAAAGTCAGTTTCACAGAGTTGGAGTTCATCAAAGCTTAGTTTGGGGCTCTTTTCTTCCCTTCCCTTCCTAGGTAGTGACATCCATTCTGCTGAGTTTAAATTTGATCTCAAGATAAAGAATGCCATTGTAGCTAACTTTTAAGTGCTTTCTAGGTATCAGGCACTATTTTAAGCATACTGTATGCACTAACTCATTTAATCCTTTTAAGAATCCTATGAGCTGGATACTATTTTCTCTATCACTTAAGAATGAGGAACTGAGGGATTGGGTAACACAGTATGGATAAAGCCTGAACTGGAATCAGGCCATCTGGCAGCAGAGCCCCTACTCCTAGCCAATCTATCCTAACGCCTATGCAACGTGTATGAAAACATAATCTCACGTGTACGGTCTTTTAAACTTTAGTGATTCTGTGAGCCCCCACAATGGAGCTACCCATTTGTTGAGACAGGAGAGGTGTGATGGAACACTGACAGAGTCCACAAGAAAGCCAGAGAACTGTTTCCCTGTAGTATTTCAGAGACAGATAAAATAATGGCAAATGTCTTCTCCACATCACTTGCTTCATTCACATTTACAAAGAATTGTGTACTTAAAATAGAAAACACCTCATTACTTACCTTTGATGTCTCTATGGACAATCATATTACTGTGCAAATAATGGACACCCTCCAGAATCTGACGGGTGTATTTCCTAGTCACATTCTCAGTAAGAGCGCCATATGCTTTTAATTGGTCCTTAATTGAACCCTAGGAGAAAAGAAAACAACAACAAAAACTATTGTATATGGTTTGAAATGAAAACCGATATTAAATCTTTATCAGTAAAGAGGGCAGGAATTCTCATCATACTCATCTATGCATATCCTACTTGAATTTTATTTATTTTGTTCTTTTTCTGTATTTAGAGTGTTTTACTGACATCTGCTGATTTTCTCAGGAAAAGAAAAGGGTATAACTGGAAAGAACACATATGAGATTTTAAAGTTATTTCTTTATATACTCAACACTCAAGTTTGAAACATGAGAACATATACAAAAGGAGATCTTCAGATTTTCTCAAGTGCTTTTTAGGGCAGGGTAAGATGCCATCTCTGAGAAAGGTGAATCAATCTGAAGTGAGAAATAGGTATTTCAATTTTGAAAAAGCTTCCCTAGTGATTCCACTGTGCAAGTTTGATTAATAATCCCTTTAAAAGATGGAAATAAAATGCTTCCAAGAGACAGATCTCTTTTTTGACAAGAAAATACATCCAAATGTTTCTGCCTTTCCTTGAATTTTGGTAAATGGTATACTCTGCCATATGAAAGTAAATCCTTGGATTTTACAGATTTAGCCATTTGTCATTTCCACTGTTTATGAGCCATCTTTGGAAGGAGAGCATCTTGCAATTCTGTGGACCCAAACTTGCAAACACACATATGGAAAGCAGCAAGTGTGCCCAGTCAACTACTCACACTTACAGTTCAGCGTGGCTTGTTTGTTCAGTCTACTTCACGTGTCTCTACTTGTAGTACTATACAGAATAGGCCAGGCATGGCAGCTCACGCCTGTAATCCCAGCACTTTGGGAGGCTGAGGAAGGCAGATCATCTGAGGTCAGGAGTTCAGACCAGCCTGGCCAACATGGTGAAGCCCCATGTCTACTAAAAATACAAAAATTAGCCAGGCATGGTGGCAGGCACCTGTAATCCCAGCTACTCAGGAGGCTAAGGAAGGAGAATTGCTTGAACTCAGGAGATGGAGGTTGCAGTGAGCAGAGATCATGTCACTGCACTCCAGCCTGGGCAACAAAGCAAGACTACATCTCAAAAAATAATAATATTAATGATAATAAAGCTGAGCTTTCCAAAAAATAGGCCAAATAATACCTTTAGGTCGCAAATGAGTGACAGAGTTATGGATTTTCTGGACAGCTGGGCCAGTGGCCTCCAGCTGCTAAAAGCTCCATCAGTGTAAAAATGTTAACTTTAGTGTGTACAAGTGAAATGAGTTGAGATACACTGTACCAGCTAAAGTGTGTGTGTGTGTGTGTGTGTGTGTGTGTGTGTGTAAAAAAAACAGAGAAAAGCCAACTGCTAGTCCAGGAACTGAAAATAAAAGAAGGCTATGATTTCAAGTCTAAATAGTTCCAGATAAGTAGGAAATGGAATGCTAGTGTAAGTTTGGGAAGACTGAAAAATGAACAACAATTTTGACAGAATTTGAATCCAGGGCATAAAATGGATCCATCACACTAAATTTAATAAAATTATCCAGATAGCATCACTCACAAACTTGGGGATTCAGGAAAGTCTAAAAACAAGACTGAATGAGAAAAAAATCTATCAAAATCTCATTTAGACACATTTTCAGTTTCAGTTTCTAAGTTTCTTCTGTCCTTGTCCAAATACAGATACGTTTTTGTTTTGTTTTGTTTTGTTTTGTTTGAGACCGAGTTTCACTCTTGTTACCCAGGCTGGACGCAATCTTGGCTCACAGCAACCTCCTCCTCCTGGGTTCAGGCAATTCTCCTGCCTCAGCCTCCTGAGTAGCTGGGATTACAGGCACATGCCACCATGCCCAGCTAATTTTTTGTATTTTTAGTAGAGACGGGGTTTCGCCATGTTGATCAGGATAGTCTTGATCTCTTGACCTCATGATCCACCCACCTTGGCCTCCCAAAGTGCTGGGATTACAGGCGTGAGCCACTGCACCTGGCCTAGATAATTTTATAATAGTAAAATGAGTAGAGATTTTTTTTTCCTTTCCTTTCCTTTGGATGACTTCTGTAGAATAATTTCTGTAAGATTACCAAATCAAAAGGCTTCAATATTTTTATGGTCTTTAAAATCTCCCCAAAAGGATTTTTTTAAAAACTAACTTACATTGACAACAGAATTTTTGAAATAAACAAGGAAGTAGTAATGATAACAATGAGTGACAATGGTGTTGCTATGAACAATTAATTATTCCTAATAATAAGAAACAAGTTTACTGCTGCTCTTATGACACTGAGGGTGGGCAAGAACATTATCATCAGATATTGGTCCACAGAATGTTATACTGATCCATAAGCTCAAATAGCAACCTTGTACATTCTACATACAATTCTAATCAGCTACCCCCATGAAGACCCATAAATCAAACTTCTTTTTGCTAACATATGCTACCTTTTAAATTATGGAAATGCAGACCAGGCGCGATAGCTCACGCCTGTAATCCCAGCATTTTGGAGGGCCGAGATGGGTGGATCACCTAAGGTCAGGAGTTTGAGGCCACCTTGGCCAACATGGTGAAACCCTGTCTTTACTAAAAATATAAAAACTAGCCAGGCACGATGGTGGATGCCTGTAATCCCAGCTACTCAGGAGGCTGAGACAGGAGAATCGATTGAATTTGGGAGGTGGAGGTTGCACTGAGCTGAGATCACACCACTGCATTCCAGCCTGGGCAACAAAGTGACACTCCATCTCAAAAAATAAAAATTATGACCAGGTGCAGTGGCTCATGCTTGTGATCCCAGCACTTTGGGAGGCCAAGGTGGGTGGATCACCTGAGGTCAGGAGTTTTGAGACCAGCCTGGCCAACATGGTGAAACCCCGTCTCTACTAAAAACAAAAAAATTAGCCGGGTGTGATGGTGTGCGCCTATAATCCCAGCTACGCAGAAGGCTGAGGCAGAACTGCTTGAACCCAGTAGCTGAGATCATGCTACTGCACTCCAGCCTGGGCAACAGGAGTAAAACTCTGATTCAAAAACAAATAAATAAAATGAAAATTATGGAAATGCATGTATTTTTAAATGAGTAAACATATTAACCACCACCTTGAAAATCATTAATACTAGATGTACTGTATTTAAAAAATAAAATATATGTAATGACAGATGTTACAAATCACATTTTATAACTCCTAATGAAATTAGAGACTCTAATGATGACTATCCATCAGTGCTAAAAATATTAGGTGGATGGCTGAAAAGAAACTGGATATTGATATGTGCCACTGCTATACCTCATATTACTTTCTGGTCTGCAGGAAAAAACAAAACTTTACAATGCAGGCATCAATCTGTCAATCACGCTCATCTAATGGTCAGTCTTTGCATTGCTACAGTAGAATAACCAGAAATTGGGTTCCTGATAGGATGCAACAAAGTGCATAGCTTCATCTGTGATGTATCAAATAAAAAAGGTTGAATATGAATCTAATTTAGACTTTAGCTCTAACTTGGAGTTTATAGTAAATAAAGGGATAAAGGAACAAGTTAAAATCCACATGCTCATTTCAGCAGCACATATACTAAAATTAGAACGAGACAGAGAAGATTAGCATGGCCCCTGAGCAAAGATGGCATGCAAATTTGTGAAGCATTTCATATAACTAAAAATATAAAAAAATTTAAAACAAACCAACAAAAAAAAACAAAACCCAAATCCACAAGAATGCAATTAGAGAACCCATGAGACTTTTTTTTTTTTGTAAATTCTTCCAGATCCTGACAGCAAAGACTCTTAACAGACTATCCTACTCGCTTTGTCAAATCTGTATCATGTACAAACTGACTGCTCTAGATAGTAATCCTAGCACTTTGGGAGGCCAAGGCAGAAGAATCACTTGGGTCAGGAATTTGAAATCAGTCTAGGCAACAGAGTGAGACCTTGTCTCTCTCTCTCTCTCTCTCTCTCTCTTTTAAGAATTATAAAAGTTGGCCGGGCACGGTGGCTCAAGCCGGTAATCCCAGCACTTTGGGAGGCAGAGGCGGGTGGATCACGAGGTCAAGAGATCGAGACCATCCTGGTCAACATGGTGAAACCCTGTCTCTACTAAAAATACAAAAAATTAGCTGGGCATGGTGGCGCGTGCCTGTAATCCCAGCTACTCGGGAGGCTGAGGCAGGAGAATTGCCTAAACCCAGGAGGCGGAGGTTGCAGTGAGCCGAGATCGCGCCATTGCACTCCAGCCTGGGTAACAAGCAAAAACTCTGTCTCAAAAAAAAAAAAAAAGAATTATAAAAGTTGTTTAAAAGAGAGAGATTATTAAGGTACATAAAAATTAAATGTAATATATGGCCCTAGACTGGAACTTGGTGTGAACATATCATCTATAATGGGCATTTTAGGGCATTTAAGGAAATCTGAAGATGGGCCACTAAGATGTCTGTAACCTACTTTAGAATACTTTAGCATTATTGAGTTAAAAAATACAAAGATAGATAAAGAGGATAACAAATAGGGCCGGCCGCGGTGGCTCAAGCCTGTAATCCCAGCACTTTGGGAGGCTGAGGCGGGTGGATCTCGAGGTCAAGAGATCGAGACCATCCTGGTCAACATGGTGAAACCCCGTCTCTACTAAAAATACAAAAAATTAGCTGGGCATGGTGGCATGTGCCTGTAATCCCAGCTACTCAGGAGGCTGAGGCAGGAGAATTGCCTGAACCCAGGAGGCGCAGGTTGCGGTGAGCCAAGATCACGCCATTGCACACCAGCCTGGGTAACAAGAGCGAAACTCCGTCTCAAAAAAAAAAAAAAAACAAACAACAACAAATATTACCCAGCTCTGATTTAAAACTCTTCCCAAATGTCCTTAACTAGGATTAACATTTTATAATCTAAGTTTTTCTTTTATTGATTAAAATTTTAAATAGAATGTGCATTTTCAAAAAGATGTACTAACTTACCCCTGGCATATATTCCATAAATATGGAAAGTGTTTTTTCCTGGGGATCTCTCAAACAGCCATAATACTGAACAATTCGCTCATGTAGCAAGTTTTTCAGCAACTGAATTTCACACTCAAGTGCATTTACTTCCTGAAAGGCAGAATTCATTGTTAAGTCTTCGATAATGTAAGTAAAAGCAAAAACTTCTAACTTGATAGACCATCACAGTAATTTCATTGTGAAAATTTTAGTTCCCAAGTCTCTAACCAATTGGTTAGAGACCAATTGGTTCCTCAGTCTCTAACCAAAACTTTTAAACAGTCCTTGATTCAGTGTTGCTAAAGCAACACTGAATCATATTAGGATTATAACTGAAGTACTAATAAAGAAATATTCATATTAAAAAGTAGATAAACATACCTAATCTGTTTATTTTACAAATAATTTATACTAAAGAAAACTTTTTTTTTAAAGTAAAAATCCTTCTTATTTAGAACGGAAGAGGCTTAATGTTAAAAAATAATAATAAATAAAGCTTCTTATAATATGACAAAGTACTTTGTGCAGTGATTTTTACCTTGCTGGTCTCAGGACTATCAGGATCAAATTGAACTTGCTTAACAGCCAATTCTCTTCCTGTATCAACATCATAACAGAGGTAGACCCTTCCAAAGGCTCCTTGGCCAAGCAGTTTGCCCAATCTCCAGTTGGTTGGAGCACGAGGTGCTGAAAAAGAACACTTTCTTAAAGTGAAATATCAAATGGCATGCACATGGTTAATAACTAAATAAGCATACTACATTAGTGACATTCTTCATTGAATGTGCTTAGATATAAGGGAAAATTATAATTATCCAAATTCATATAGTTAGCATTTTTCTAAATTTTTCTCTTTAGTCAATTTTTCTACAAATTCTAAATCTGAAAAAGATTCGTATCCCCAAGACTCATTTTTTTTCTGAATTTGTCTTTTTTCCTAATTACACAAGTGAGAGCATCTTTCTTTTACTCAATCTAAGATGCCAAATGGTGTAAGATACACAATTTCTAATCTTCACCACAGTAACATTTGTACTTAGTTTCTTAGCATCCACCTACAATGCAGAAAGCTGGAGAGAGTCTCACTCCCATCCAAACAACAAGATAAATTCTGGACAATCTACAAAATTGCAACTTTTTAAAAATATGTATCAAAACACTAAGACTGCAGGGCAACCAACTAATCTGAAATCTAAGGAAAAACTGGTACCTCCAAGGAGAGACAGAACAGCAGCACTGGCTCACTAATGGCAAAGCATGGAGAAAGACCCACACAAACACAGAAGAACTCAGCTCCATTTTAAACAATTATGGACTGACACAAGAGTATTGAACCTCTGGGAGATCCAGACACAGATGAGTTCACACCTGCTCAAAATCTTTTCCCTTGACCTCTACCATGCACTCACAGGAGCAGGAGACACCAGGGAAGGCCTCCCTTGTGGTCAAGGCCTGGAGAAGGGAATGGCCTACTGTTGTGAGAAAGTTAGAAAGCCCTTCCAAACCCTTCTCCCCTAAGAAACAGAGCCGTCAACTGCTGGAGAAAGTAGCAAACCCTGTCACCCCTGGGGTACAGGTAAGGACCCACTGAAGCTAGGGTAATGAAAAAGAAAAGAAAAAACCCTACCCCTGAGAGAGAGGCTGGAAACCTTTTGTGACCCTGACCATTACAGCACATTGCTGAGAACTGAGGAGATAAAGCCTGCCTAAGACTGAAGCTGGACAAGACAACATAGAACCCTCTATTTTACCTCACCTATCCTAGGCTGGCAAGTAGCAGCAGTCTACTACTGAGAGAGTGACAAGGCCATAGACAGACCTTCTCTCTCTGAAAGTAGGCACAAAAAAAAAAAAAGGCCAAGGCAAGGCACAGTGGCTCATGCCTGTAATCCCAGCACTTTGGGAGGCCGAGGTGGGCGGATCACCTGAGGTCAGGAGTTCAAGACCAGCTTGGCCAGCGTGGTGAAATCCCATCTCTACTAAAAATACAAAAAAAAAAAAAAAAAAAAAAAAAAAATTAGCTGGGTGTGGTGGTGGACACCTGTAATCCCAGCTACTTGGAAGGCTGAGGCAGGAGAATCTCTTGAACCTGGGATGTGGAAGTTGCAGTGAGCTGAGATTGCACCAATGCACTCCAACCTGGACAAAAAGAGCAAAACTCCCTCTCAAAAAAAAAAAAAAAAAAAAAAAAAAAAAAGAAAGGGAAGGCCAAAAGCTGATGGAGCAGGACCATTGAGAAAATCTCTTTAGAAAACCAGCACAAGGTAATCAGAAGAATTTAAAGTCAGTGGTGCACACAGACCACAGCAACAACAAAATCCAGACCCAGCTCAACTCCTGACTAGACTGACTCAACTTCTCACAATAATAGCCTAGCAGAAAAAGAGCTGTGCCTATTTGCAGGCATGCATTCTATTTACCTCTTCCCTTATCCTATACATGGTATCTGCCATTCAATGTAAAATGCTAAGACACAAAAAAGTAACCACTCCAAAAAAAATCAAAAGAGAAAGCAATTAATATAACCAGACTCAAAAGGTTCAGACAGGAAATTTAAAATAACTATGACTAACATGTTAAAGATTCTAATGGAAAAGGTAGACAACATGTATGAACAGACAAATGGAGAACAGAGAGGTAGAAACGACATTCAATCACATGAAAATGTGTGAAATAAAAAACAATGATAGAAATTAAGAATTCCTTCAAAAGGATCATAAATAGATGCAACAAGGCTGAGGAAAGAATCAGTGAACCTGAAAATAGATCAATGGTGGGGAAGAAAGAGAGAGAGAGAAAACAGAAGTATAAGATAGTATCAAACAGTCTAGCATATAGGTAATAGGAATCCCAGAAGAAAAAAGAAGAATGGGACAGAAAAAATACTTGGGGAACTTTTATAAAAAATACTGAGAACTTTTCACAGACAAACTATGAAAAAACTGAATGAACACCAGCTGGGAACCCTACACAAATATACCCAGACACATCATATTCACACTGTAGAAAATCAAAGACAAAATCTTGAAAGCGGCTGGGGCAGCTGCAGGAGAAAAAAGCATATTACATATGGAGAACAAAGGTAAGAATTACAGCAGATTTCTCTTCAGGAAGTATATAAGCCAAAAGACAATAGACAATAGCTTTAAAGTGCAAGAAAGGCCAGGTGCAGTGGCTCACACCTGTAATCCCAGCACTTAGGGAGATTGAGGCGGGTAGATTGGCTTGAGCCCAGGAGTTTAAGACCAGCCTGGGCAATACAGCAAAACCTTGTCTCTACAAAAAAATACAAAAATTGGCTGGGCATGGTGGTGCATGCCTGTAGTGCCAGCTACTTGGGAGTCTGAGGTGGGAGGATCACTTGAGTCCAGGAGGCAGAGGTTGCAATGAACGGAGACTGCACCACTGCCTGGGTGACAGAGTTAAGACCCTGTCTCAAAAATGAAGAAGAAATAAAGACTTTTTTCAAACAAACAGAAGCTGAATGAACTTATTATCAGCAACCCTATATTATAAGAAAGGTTAAAATGTAGTTTTTAAGGCAGAAGGAATTTGATACCCAATAGATCTTGGAACTATCTTTGTTTATATAGATTTTGGACCTATACAAAGATCTATAAAAATGAATAGACTAAAGATATATATAAAAGACATTTTAATCTTATTTTTTAATCACTTCAAGAG